CTGAATTTTGGCCTCATTTTGTCCGATGTTTTGAAACGATGTTTTTTAACAATTCTCTGTGTTTGCTTGTTTGTTCTTTTGTATGTATTCATATAAACACATTAATTGATTCGTTTATTTTTATTGTCATTTCATTTTTATATCAATAAAATTTGATTTCGCATTCCAATTACATTCTCATAATAATAACAATAATAATAACAATAATAATATCAATACTATGTCTAAGGAAGATATTCCGTGTTATTTTTAAAAGAGAGATCAATCAAGTGATCGCAGTGAAGATCAACTGCCGGATAATATGCGAAAACCGCACAGATCTCACCCTAAGGGTATCCAGCACTATGATATTACAAGTGTATTTTGCTAAGGACATATCCAAACGGAATCTCTTTTAGGGCAAGGATATAGGTAGGTATAGCCTTACCCTTAGCCTTATCCTTGTGCTCGTATCGAGAGATATTCGAGAGATATCGATAGTGATGTGATATCTATCTGTGTGGAGAGAGATGGGTAGATCGATAGTGATATCCGATATAAATCTGCGATTGAAATGACGTTGATATCCCCGANAAGTAAACTGATCTGATTTGAGTGATCAGTGATCGTCGATCTGATTGGAGATTAAAGCTGCTTTCATTTCCCGTCTCTTCCCTAGTTCAGTTCACTTCCCGAATATGCAAGTATTTTGTGAGTTGTGTGCCCATATTGATGGGTAGTTGTTAGCTGGCATTAGTTTTGTTGTTATTTGGGTAAATCCAGCCATTAAATTTGGGTATATCCATTCAATTTGGGTATATCCATCCATACATGCATCCAGTCGTAAATTAGTTTCATTTTGATCACTTTTGGATGATTTCAGGCAAAACTTTACCCGGGAAATCAGTCTCTACCCGGCAACAGCAACAGGATTTACCCGGAATTTGCCCAATAATAACTCGAAACTGCTCATTCAGGTTTTAATTAATTAATTAATGGCTGCTGCTATCAGAAGGGAATACGATGCGATACGACGAAGCCAAAGCCCTATACCGGATGATCCTTTTACAGGAGCAGATCCTGAAAATCGGTCTGGACACGCTCATCGATGTCCTGAATTAAACCCGAATTCAGGTATTACTTTATTGATCTGATCTTTATTGATCTATTTATTGATCTCTTATCTGATCACTTTTTTATTGATCATTTCCCGATCAAATAGATAGCTAATTCTTTATTTGTTATTATTTATTATTATCGTTATTTATTTATTTATTAATATTACTTTATTATAACTATTACTATTATTACTACTATTAACTTTATTAGCTTTATTTATTATTACTTTATTACTATTATTATTTATTAATTAATTAAGTGATCACACGAATGTTTTAGGTGCTTTAGGTGTATCTTTCGAAGAGCTGCTGCGAAATGCAAGACCATTAGAAGAACGACAACAGCAAAGGCTTGCTAGAAACGAAACAATATCAGGATTGAGCCATCATCAACCACCGCGTCGCCAAAATCGCCCAAACTGGCGCCCTGGACCTCCTAGCGGCTCGGCCAGGGCGCCAGCAACAGCACCTCGGCTGACACCAGCCGGTTTTGAGACTCGACCCCGAGCCGATCCTCCAGCAGCCGCCCAAATTCCAGGAAATCCACGAACTGCTGCCGGTCCAGTTGCAGCAGCTGCCCAGGCTATCGCTTGGGCGCCTTCGACGATTTGGACGCCGCCTGTGATTTGGCGGCGGCCTCCAGGGGTCTGGCGCCAGCAGATTCAGAACCAACAGTGCCCTCCAAACCAACAACAACAGCAGCTGTTGTTGGGGGCACTGGTTTGGCCTCATTGGGCGCCACCTTTAAGCACTCCCCATGGGCCTCCGAGAGTCCAAGCCCAGGGCAGTCTAGAGGCTGAGCTTAGATGGATGAATTTGCACGATAGTAACAATATGAGACGTTCTAGTAGGTGAAAGGATCAGAAATTGAATTGTTTCCTTCTTAGTTCACCAAAAACATCCAAATCGGCGGCGCCCAAATCGTCGGCGCCCAAATATATTCAAATTCAAGATAACAATAATAATAAATGAATGGATAATAATAATAAGATAATCAGTTTACCAAAATATCTTGAGTAGTAATCATAACAATAACAATAATAAATGAGCACAATGCTAGTGACCAGACTTAGAACCTCAGGTTCTGGGGCCTATAGGGCCTGAGTAATGCGGACCTGAGGTCCGGGACCCATCAGGGACTCCGATTTGCTTGTTATCATGACCGAATGCTTGAAATTTTTTGGAATTTTCCAGTGAAATCATAATTAAATTCGAATGTGTTTTGTGTAAACGGTTTGTAATGTGGTTTTGTGTAATT